TTGATCCTTTATAACACTCCTGGTCACTCGACTACCTTTGAGCGGAATGGTATCCATGTTGCATTCTTCCCGCCAAATGTTACGTCGTGGAAGCAGCCGATGGACATGGACATCATTGCAACACTGAAAAAGCGATACAAATATTTGCTGCTCAAAGAAATGATAGCCTATCACGATAATTCGCAAAGTTTGAAGTATCAACTGGCAATAGCTGCATTGAAGTTGAATCGGGGCGCTGTAGGGATGTTTTACGGACGTTCTTCACATTCTCTGGACGCTGCAAACTTCGGTAACATTGCTTGGAACGAAATTTCCGTTGAGAGTTTGAAAAACTGCTTAAAAAAAACGAATATTATTTTTGCACTCAACAATGTTGACCTTGGCAACGACAATGATGAAATCGTGGGCGAAATTGCTTATTTGCTGAGCAATTGTCATCTCTTGAATGACAATCATGAAATTGACATTCATGGTGAAATTGAACAAAGTCTAATCGATGACAAAGATTATTCAAAGCTATTCAAAAATACTCTTCTTGAAGAGATCGAACAAGCAATGGGTGCCGCCCTGGTTCAAAAGTATGTCATCGAATCCAAAAACAATGAACCCGAACCAATCTGGGCTCACAACAACATTGATCAGCGCGATGTTATACTTCAGTCTTTAGACAGTTCAATCAGTCTCCATGTGAATATGAATGACTTGAAATCTTCGCCATATTTGTCATCCGAACATATAAATCATACCAAGGTAGCACTATTCACATTCCATAGCATTTTACATACTGGACGATGTGTTATAACTCGGGAGCGAATTGAAAATATCTGCCAAATGACTATTTGATTTTATGTAAAATCCATAATCTAGCAATTTTGTATTTTGAAATGATTACTTAAATGAATGCGGACTTAACCAAATGTATATTGTATGTAACTTACATGTCTACATGGCATTTTTCACGTGCCACGAATGAAATTTATATAACCACACGTGACGACCTACATTTGCCTACCATGTGGCGATCTGACGTCAGGCCCGCCTCTACGTGGCTTTACTCGCCACATCACCACCACACGTGGCAACGCCTCGCGCGTTCAAATACTGACGTGGCTCTCAAGATGGAATGACGTGGCGAATGCTTCGAGTTGACGTGGCGTTTCTTGAGTATGACGTGTCTCATTGCGGTGTTGACGTGTCCCGTGCGAGTGGCGACACGTGTTGACGCACGGTGCGAGCGCTGCTCGCTGCATGTCCGTCTGCGCTCTCACGGTGCTCGGCGCTCGCGCGACCGAGAAATTTTGATAAATTTCTTGATTTCTTGAGAAATTTATCGAGACCTGCCTGTCAGCTTCCGCCCTGCGCTCTTTCGTAGCCTGGTGGCCTACGCCTTGTCCGCCCCCTTCGCGCGCATGCTTTTCTGGACACAAAAATCGATAAAAAATGATCGATCAATCGCCTTCGCATTGGACCTGCGCTTGATGCTTTCATCACCTTCCTGTACGCTCAAGAAATCGTCGACGTTTATAAACATCGCTCGTCCCAGCTCGAAGTGCGATTGTTCCTCCCGGGCCCGATGGTCTGATCATCGAGTTGCTCCGAGTACAGCCAGCGACGTCCAGTCCCTGCGTAATCTGCACTCCGACTGCTTTTCAAGCGGTGTACGCTCTGATCGATTTGTCGTCGGAGCTGCTGTAGTCGTAGACTCATCTTTCTCCCATCCACTTTTTTTTGCTCTGAATAGGGGGCTCTTCCTGTTCTTTCCGAACTTCTACAGCAGCTGCACTCTCCTTCTCCATCTTGTTCAATATTTCTGAGACACATCTCTTTGACTTCCAGAAAATGGGTATATTGCTCCTTCTGATCCGTCAGAAGCTGTCGAATCTTCATGTCTCTTTCTGCACCGGGTCTAATTTAGCGGAGAAGAACCCTCTGTAAGTTCCTAGTGATGCCGGTGTAAAGGATTGCCGGATAGCCAGAATTTCGTTTTTCCTTGCCCTTGTAGAGAAACCAGCTTCAACCATTGGCGAAATCAAGGAAAGCATTGTTTTGGAAATCTACGAGGGAGATCGAGTTGTCCTCAAATAACGTAGAACCACTTTCCAAATTGCCTGGTGCTGCACCGCTCAGATTGTCATCTCTAAGTACCAAGTACTGCAATGACGAAATATTCCTTATGTTCGAAGATGTCCTTCCAGATACTTGGTTGAATGACAGGTCAATGCTGCTCATGTTCTGTGACAGAGTTGTGTTGGGAATTGGCCACCACACGAGGGCACTCTGTCTCGAGTCGTTCTCTGGATTTTTTGTTATAGAGGGCCAGACAAGCCACCTCAAAGCTTGATTACCTTTTCCGACCCGGTCTATATCAAATTCCTTCCAGCTATCTTCAGCTTCTTCGCTCAGATTTGATTTCGATAGAAAATAGGTTAATGCTAGTCTCGCAGTCGAATTACTCAAGCTTGTTCCTCCCCAACGAATTGTGTGAAGAGATGGGCTGTGTTGGACTAAGACCCGCACAACTCGTGGTGTTAGCCGGCTACATCGACTGATATCAACAGCTTGCAAACGGGGACAAACTTAGGCCAATGTCTCAATACAAGCATCCGTGATATCAGAGCCTGATACATCTAAAAACTCCCAAGACTAGTCCGCCAACGCCACCAACAGTTCATCACATAATAAATCCCTTCTACGGACAACTGCAAGTAGAGAAGCCATTTCCTGGAGAAAATTTGAAGACGTGGAGAAATCATTCGCATTATCCGCACACTTTTGATTGTCCTTCTCCGTGCAGGACCTGCAACCTTTGATAAACTGTTGCTTCCTTCCACTATCCTTCAAAATGCTCAAGTCTTTCTCAAGGTGCGCCAAATTGAACTCTTAGGACAAACCTCCTATGTATGTCCTGACAACAAACGTGTGCTCGGATATCTTCGCCATTCTAACGGCATTTGACAACTGTGATGAACATTTTTCAGTTCACAAAACAAGCATTGAAGGTCTCCTCTGACAGACGCAGCGGAACCCCGCGGCTGGGCAACGACGATGCATGGAGACGACGGCATGTCATCCCTCTCATACTGCCCTCAGGAACAGTTGGAATTTCTTCTAACCAGCAAATCGTAAAATGACGAGATGGAGCTCTGCGGATGCAGAGCAGTAAGTGCTTTTCGCCATCACCGTCTAAGAATCTGGTGTCAGAGAAGTATCGGACTCTTTCAGCTTTGCTTCTCTTCATTTCTCCTCCAACAATCTGCTCAGCTTTTACAATCAGAATTCATACACGAATTTCAACCTGTCAGTCTCTTAACAATATCTTGCAAAACCAGCTAAGCCTCAAAGTCGGCGAGTTGTCTCCTTAGCCTTGGTCCGCACAGGTACTCGTGATCTCCCTGGAAAACCAGTCAGTAACCCGATCGACAAACTTTCGGAAAAACTCTCAGAAACTTCAAAAAACTGTTACAAACTTTCCAAAAATGGTTACACTTCTGTCACAAACTGGGGCCATAACCCATGTCGATCTGGCTTGCAGCAAATTCAAAGAGAGAAAATTGAGAGTAGAAACAGAAACAGAAAACTATGAGAAACTATGAGAAATTTTTCAGCTCAATAAAATGCTCAGCTCTTCTAAAACTTGTCATAACCAGAAACTTGTTCGCTTCTTCAGTTGACTTTTTACCTCTTAAAATGTTGACTTACATGGAACTCTGGAATCAAAGTGCCTAAAAATGTTTGATGAATTAGAGCTGTGTAATTCGCATGATATGATTCAAAGAGCAATTGTTGTTGCTGGGCCAACTGATTGTTGCAGTCAATTGTTTGAAAACTAACTTCCGACAAAGTAGTTTATTTGGCAAGATCAACACCAAGCCATTTGATATCGTTGCGGAGTTTTCATCAAAACATGATGATGGAAGTCGCATCGTTTCAATCAAGATCACATGCAAGTTGTTGAAACTTTGTTGGATGGCATTCAGTATGTTCTTGAGACTCACATGGGTCCCAATAATTGGCCAAGGTACGCTCACAGTCGAAGTTCTAACCTTCTCAGAGATTGGATCTATATGTGGATTCAACAAGTTTTCCGTAGATAGTGATCCTGAACTACAGTAGGTACTCTCTTTGCTAGGAATACATTGATACGTACCCTCAAGTAGATCTGATTGCATACAAACAAACAGAGCGCTGCAAGCTCAACGTAGCCCCCGTTCCTGTAGATTCGAACTCACTAACCAGAATATCACTCTATTATTATGTGCACTTAATAGATATACAACCACGCTCGGCATTACATCTTTATGACATTGGTCTTGCAGATTAAATCCGAAGCGACTCCTCTCCGGGCTCTGTTCATTCGTGACGAGAAGCAGGAGAAGGAATGACAAGACTTATGAAAAGTGGATCATGCAGATCTAGATCCGGAAAGTCTAAGCGAGCAAATGAGCAGTTATGGCGGCGGAGGAATACGATCCTGCTCTTTTCAGCGTCTTGGTAATCTCTGGGATTTATTTCGTATGTATCTATATTCAGTTGGTGTTACTTCCCATGTTCGGATCCACCAACCATAACTAAAATAGGCAAAGCTCCGAATCGGGCTAAATGAATGGTGGCAAATGTCTCTTTGAACAAGATCTCGTTATAAGTCCTTCTCTTCCAAGGTCCTCAATCTTCAAGCACTCTCAGCTCTACTCTTGTATGACGCGTGTCAATAATCTCCTCAAGCCGCCATACGCTAAGCTTTACCCCGGTTCTATCTCCTATCCTCCTGGCTGGTAATGCTATGTTTTCTATTAAGCTCTACACCCGCCGCAAGTCTGATTTTCCTGCGTCTACATGTTTCCCGTATCAAAGCAGGTGAATCCATGTCGTCCTCCTTGAGAAAGATTTCCGAACCATGAGAGACATGTCCGCGTGCTCGCTCTTGCCCGGTCGGTTTCTTGTGCTCTGTGATAAAAAATGCTGATGAGTTGCGAAAGCTACCGCATGTGATTTTGAGCGAAACCTGCTTGAACATGACGATCTGAACCTACGAGAACTTCAGCTCGATCCTCGACTCCACCACTTTAATCTAAAATCGTGATAAGAATATGACAATTCGAATGTTATCTATCAAGGCGCATGAAGTCGCGTATGTCCGAATTCGGAACTTCGCCACCGCCTATCCAGCACCCAAGTCTGCTTCTGGCTTTGAGCCGCGGCCGGCGGCGAACAATCTTGGAGGAATCTGAATTTGACCTGGAATCGGAATTTGGCGGGGTCAAAACTATCGGGTGATGGAGTTCATTTTTTCTTGGCTCGGAGACACTGTCCAGAGCCTCCAGGAGGGTTAAGCCCTTGTACCAGTCGAGGTTGCTGGACCTCTCGATCATGTTGTCCACCTCGAAGCCCGAGATTGGGACGAACGGGATTTTCTCCGGGCTGTATCCGACCTTCTTCAGGTTGGTGGAGACCTCCTTTTGGATTTCATCGTACCTGCTCTTGGAGTATTTGGGAGTGGTGGCGTCCATTTTGTTGCAGCAGCAGATCATCTGCTTCACTCCGAGGGTCTAGGCTAGGAGGGCGTGCTCTCGGGTCCGGCCGTCTTTGGAGATCCCGGCCTCGAAACCTCCCGTGGTGGAGTCAATGATGAGCACGGCGCAGTCGGCCTGGGAGGTTCCCGTGATCATGTTTTTTACGAAGTCCCTCTGGCCAGGGGCATCGATCACGGTGCAGTAGTACCTGGTGGTCTCGAATTTCCACAGAGCGATGTCGATGGTGATTCCTCTCTCGCGCTCGGCCTTCAGCTTGTCAAGCAACCATTCGTACTTGAAAGATCTCTTGTTCATCTCGGCTGCCTCCTCCTCGAATCGCTCGATTACTCGCTTGTCGATGCCTCCCAGCTTGTAAATCAGGTGCCCCGTCGTCGTCGACTTGCCGGAGTCGACATGACCGATGACAACGATATTGATGTGAAACTTCTCCTTCCCCATCTTACTCAGCGGCTTCTCTCAGAAACAGCTTGAGATCAAAAACTCGAGTGTAGATCCCCTGGACCAAGAGACAACGACCAACGCTTGTGCCTCAGGCTGGAGAAGTACAGCAGAATGGGGGTGACAGTTTGGAACTCTACACCGCTCTGAGCCGATTTGTAGTCTTTGCGAGTGAATGTGCTCCAAACTGTGATTTTAGATTCCAGAAACCCCAAAGAACTTACCCTTATTCTCAGGCGTACGTGAAAGATGCGTAGATAGGCAGAGTTTGTCGTGGACTTCAGTAAGTGGATTTATCAGAGATGCACTAGAACTGTGCAGCTCGCGCAATACGCGGATATTTATTTTCAGTTTTTTCCTTTTGATATTTACTTGAGAATTTTCACAAAGGAAGGGGGCCAAGTCGGTATTAAAAATATGGGAAGAACCATCAAGCCGTAGCCTCACAGAGGTACATATCAACAACTCTCGATAGTTTCAGATGCACTGATCAACAGATGATACAAAGCTGAAGCTGGATTCCGGTTTTGTTTTGCATGCAACGAAGACGTACTCATGATATCTGGCTAGGTAGAATGTATGAAGCTAATGTAACACGAACTGTAACGAAGCCAGATAGAAAAGTACACGATTTCGTATCTTCAAAGTTGGGATCAACGGTTGGTACCTTTCTAATCGTGAAGGCGACGAATAAATTCACACCGAATCTCCTTTGTCAATGTTACACTGTGACAGTGTCTCCCATGTAAGCTAGATTGTCCTGTTGACGAGCAGTTCTTCGTACTCCGACCAGTTTAATCCATGAAGTCATGGTTCTAGGGTCGTGAGCACTCACCCTTTGAAGTAAGTTACTTTGAGCATGACTCAAAATTTGTCGAGAAGGAACTAGTTTTATCGACAACATTAAGCGTAGCAGAATCTTAGGTCTTACTCATTTACTGTACAGTACGCCCAATTAAACAAGTGAGAACCGCAGACACACACAACCAGCATTCCTAGTGCCTACTGTAGAACTAGTAGTGCTACAGGTCACATTGTTCCCTTAGATAGGTAAAAAAAAAGGTTATATGATGCGAGAACGTGAGAATGGAGTAATGATCCTCTACTCCAGGCCTCCTAAATTCTGGCAAATGCCAGGTTTGCTAGAACTAAGGTAATTCTCGCAATTTTTTTTCCCTAATTCGGGAATTTCTGGCATTAACACTGTAATTTCACTACTTTTGGTTCGATGACTTGGAGATAATCCTTTTGAATTGCTTCGAATACATAATACCCGTCAAAGAAAATCTTGTAAGGCAGGTGCGGGAGTCATCTTTCTTCCATTTGATTATGAAAAAATTGCTGTAATGACATAGTATTTGGAAATGTTGAATGAATGAAAAAAATGTTAAAATTCACTTGGGCTCTTCTTTTCTAGCTATGAAAATACTCACAATGCTACACAAATGAAAGGAAAAGTAAGCAAATGAAAAATAAATTGAAACATACATGAATGATATTAATTTTACTTCTCCTTTATTTTTCGTGTGCAACTTGCTCTCGGATGTTGATTTAGTACTACCGAGAATATGGTCATCTAGTCTCAATTTCTTGTCAACTTAAAAGGTTTGCGATGCGAAGTACACAAGCAAATTCAAGCCCATGCACTCACGTGCTATTTCTGGAACACTTAACTCCCTCCTCTTCTTGGAGTTCTCTGGGCAATCTGGCATCTAAAAGTAGAACGCCAGATTGTAGGATGACTGTCTACTCGCTTGTAACGGTTCCTCTGCAGCATGACCATTTCACATAATGCAAGAGATTCTAGTTGGCCCGACATAATTGAGCAGACTATGACATTTTTTCACATATTATCATATGGGTTCAGATGTGATGACGTCACCTTGACACACGTTAAACGCTTGTTAACAGCGAGTCATCACCTTGGGAATATTAATTAAATTATAGCTTATATTGAACTTTCCATTGGTTTCATCAATGCATGTATTACGGACCCCGTAATACATGCATTGATTACAAGATTTAATAATCTGTTTATAATTCAGTATATTTAGATTGAGATCTAGAAACCAAAAGTACACAAACATTGAGATCCAAAAGTGTCCTAAAATAGCAATTCTGGGTACAGAGAAGGGCACAAAACAGCATGACCGGTAGTTTACCTTCAACAAAATGAAGCAATAAAATGTATTATACTATGAACAGGCGGTATGATACACAAGTAAATATAGTAAGTAAATATAGTGTATCTAATCAATTAGTGGTTCAAATCATGTAATTGGAGTAAGTTTAGAATAGGCTAGAGTCGTGCTAAATATGTATGTAATTTACTCTAAACAAATTACATATCTAATACAATATGGTTATGAATATGGAATACATTATAATACTATGGAATCCTAACATTTGGTTCCGTTAGATTTCTTTCTTATGCATTTTGATGGGTATTACTACTTTTTCTTTTTATTCTCATCAGTCTGGCACTTCACGACATGATAACCTGAAAATCTACTTGAACAGCAATAAATTTCAAACGCTGTACTGAAAATTAGTCTTCAATATAGATGCCACGACCAATGATTTCTCGTAGTAGTACTTTTGAACTCATCAAAGTTTAAATGTGTATGAAAACCAAACCCACAATATATTGGTGATAATTTTCATTGTAGTTTATAAAATCACATGACTTTGATATGGAATAGAATATCAAATCTCCATGTCATTAAAGCCATCATCCACAAATTTCAACTCCATCGATTATATTGTAGAACAAACAATAGATATCAAACTATCATACGCGTGTTGATTGAGGAAAAAAATACATTTCTGACTAAAATGTATTAACAAACAATTATTGAACATGGATAGCTCAACTCATATCTAATTTCTTTAAATTTAATGCGTTTCCATTTCGAAGATGTGGCCGTTAATGTTCTCGTTTGGAAGGCGATCAATCAATGGTTTTTGTATCTGTGGAGTGATTTTTTTTTGTCACAAGGTTTGTATGTTTGGTTTCCAAACTGACAACAGCAAACTTTAGTACATCATTGAAAGTTTGACATGTAAGGGTCACTGCCCCCAGGGATCTAAAGTTTCAACAGAGGGCCAATCCCGCCCTGCAACGCCGGCTCCCCACTGTGGGATATTATCACTCGTACCCCACGCATCATTATTTTGATCGTCTCCCCTATTCCGAGGATCCACTGCTGTCTTTGCTGGCCCATTATTTTTAACGTCCCACACTCCTTCAGACTTTGAAATGCCCGGACTAGATCCCCACTCGATTACTTGACATGAGTTGTTTCCATCGTATGTATCTACCTCTGATTTTGCTGATAGATCTTGGACACCAATCTCGGTATTCAATTCAATCAAGCGAGCGAGAACATCAACTGATCCACCTGGATCACTTTCAGCAGAACCCTCGGAATTCAAATTCGTTGAACTCGAACTTGTGAACTTAGTCTCCATGTTAAGATTAAGGTCAAATACTGCTCCTGTTCCTAACGGAACTTTCTTTCCAAATACGGACGACGCCAGCACACCGCTGAACCTTTCAGTGGCACCTTTTCTTCCCGCTTCAAGAAAATGTTTTATGGGAGCCTAAACAGAGATTGAGGGAAGAGAAAGTCAGCTATATTTCCGAAGACGAAAGAAAAATTGACTTTTATCTATGATGTAAGGGTTGCACTCGATAAGTTCAAACATACGACGTTACTCAAATCGGATGGGGCACAGCGCAAACAAAACCAAGTGCTTACTCTGAAAGCACCAGCTGTGAAAGGAGATGAGAATTTAAGGCTGCGCATCCAGTCTCTGTATCCGTATGAAGTCAATCCTTGGACTTCACCAGAGTAAACCATAAAATCAGCTACCAACTTCAGATGCTTGTTCCCAATAGAGTTACCTGCCGCCAACTCCAACCTCTGGTGATATGCAACGGCATTAGCAGAAAAATTGCGATTACACTATAGATGCATAAACAGGGAATTCCTCGAAATAAATTGACAATTCATGCATTTCTTTGCTCAGCATAATCGAACTCTGATTACATATACCTGCAACAAAACATCCCGTGCTGCGTCGACCCCCAAAACGCTTTTAATCTCCTGAATGCTGTATGGTGAGCTCCTTTGCCAGTCCACATAGTCCACGAATTGAATACACGATTCTTGAACAGTCCTCCATGGCATACCACGAGATTGGCTGTATAACTCCTTGACTGTGACTTCTAAGACGAGCTCCCCTCTACCTGATTTCATGACATTGCTGTCATTCTCCTCCGATTTTACAGGAGGAGACCATGTCGCGTCTTCCCACAAGATATTGACGCTTTGTAGTTTCTCACTGCCTGAGTCACGGTTTGCGAAATGGCATAATCGTTAGTACCATCTCAGATAACAGTATCGAAAAAGCAGAATGTTCTTTCTATTTGGTCTCCATGCGCTTGAAACCCATGGGATGAAGAGCGAAAGAAGCAGAGGTAGAGATCTCAAAACAAGTATTTCTTACAAAGCATTCGTGGACGCTGGTGAACACATTCGTACATCTTGCTTCATATTACGTTGAGATATGTGTAACCTATTCCTGTTTGTGTGCGCAGTTAATTTCAATAAAATCACACGATAGTTAAACTGACCTTTGACTACCGTCTTCAGAATTTCGGGGATGATGAAATTCTGCAAAACTTCCAATAATTCGACGGTTTCGTTGCTCACTTCCTTAACTGTTTTGATGCTTCTCACTTTCCCCCTCGTACTTCGTGTCAGTAAAAAATGCAGACAAGGTCCAACTACTTCCTTTTGGCGTAGTTTTACGGTTTCTTGGTAGATGTTCATATCACAAGTACAACTGTCTCTGTTCATGATCAGACAGAAAGCTATTATTTAGTACAAGGTGCAAGATGAAAATCGGCATCGGTCATTAAAAATATGAAGATACATCTGACCCTGCTGTCTGTGATTTGTCGTGATGTCATTTTACCTGATACAAAAGACGATATTCCCAATTCGAAATTTACGCGAGACACTTTTGTGAATTTTAACTTTTGAATGAAGTCTGTCGAGAATCATTTCTTGGCTTATTTTCTTTTCAGTCAAGACCATCTGCCAAGTTTCAATATCCACCATAGAGTGTGATTAGGTGTCTATTATATTGAAAACATTTTGTGCATGCGAGGATTCCCAACCTTTATTGTACCAGCCAATATCATGTAACCAGCACTTCCTCATGACAGGCATACATGATTTTATCTCTAACATCCCTAAAATAAAAAATCAATCTTCGTCACAACAATATAAACAGGAATTACACAAATGTACTCAAGCTTGACCTCGTCTTGGATAAATAAAATATATCTGAATGCCTGAAATTTTAAACACTATCCAGGTGTTACCGATTAGCGAATAACGTAGATGTGTACATAAGATCTTACCATCTGCAGGTATATGCATTCCAAATTCGAGAAAATCTTCATTTGTTTTGTACATTACCTTATCAAGCTGAACATGTCCAACCCAGGGGAAAAACTCTGTCTGCTTCAGCTCTGTAGCGGCACAGTCCAAGCCTTCCCATTGTTCCGATGAATCAGACGAATACCTGGAGCGAGTAGAAGAGATGCAAAAACGTTGTTTAATTTTATGAAGAAGTTGGGGTGAAAACTAATGAAAAGCTCAAACAGTTAGAATGAGCTGCAGAGAGGCAAAGGCCAGTATGTCTGGATCGAAAGGCAAGGTCAAATGCATCTCTAACTCGATCCTGTGTGCAAATACATGAAAATTCTGCGAAAGCGACATACGCGATTGCAGTTTCTGTGGCCAATATCTCCATTGTGACCGGTTGAAGTTCATCTTGAAGTTTCAGTACACGTCTCTCTTCGCAATACTTCCCATCACTCTTGCACCTATGTAGCCTCAGAATGGATACCCGATCTGACTCTTTCAATTTCGAGGTACTCCTTGGAAACAACGATTCCTATCATTCAATCCATAAAAAAAGATGACTTTGTTGATCGTACCATAAATTGTGTCATGAAGTTAAATAGGAGTTGCCAAATCTATTGTACATGTCTACGATTTTCATGGTTTCTTTGAACTATGTCACAAGGAGTAATGAATCATGGTTAGAATGACTTGAAGACATAGGCGATTGTCAGCCATCCACGTAAATGACGCAAACAAGTCTGTCAAGATTCTAAACATCGGTCAAGTGTAGGTAAACAAACCCATTGCTAGAGTCTAGCCGAGGCACATTAGAGTGGAAACAAATTTACCTGCAGAAGCTCCAAAGGACGTATTTTTCTCGAAGCAAGACATTGAGTCGCCTCAAGCATGACTTGGTATGCGGGCTGAGAGATTGCAGTTGCTGCTAATATACCTACTGCATCTCCTGGCATTACAGTTTTGTTCGAGAGAGTATTCTTGTTTTCCGAATCTTGAGTCATACATTTTCCCCCGTCGTACTCAAACTGAATGATTTCCAGCCCACCCATGTTTCTGACTGTGCCATCATATGCGATGTGAATATCACGCAAGAAGAGCATGAGTCTTTTGAACAATTCTCCTGGTTCAGCAATGTCCAGACTCTGACGAAATAGCCCGTCCCGTACTGATATTGCATGTACAAAAAATTCATGTGGTTCCAAACCATCCAGGAGAGAGCTCTTGACTAAACCACGAATTTCCCAGATGTCTTGCAGGTCATTTTCCATAGAGTAACCCATACTTGCAGCAAGGCGAACTAACTTCGGGTTCTTGTGAGTGGATAACAGTTCTTCGCCTTTAATGACCTGGAAACCAAGGCTTCCAATCTGCTGCATAACCTTCAGATTCGATCCTTTGCTTCCAGAGCGAACCATAGTAAGCAAACAATTGCTGTCAGATATCGATTCTATGAAGGTTTCTCCAATCTGGCTTTGAGTTTGACGGAAAGAAGAAATCGCAGCATCTTCGAGACCGTGCCTCCTTCTCCTGCGTTCTGATGGCGCTGCCGAATCAAGGATCGACATGGACGCGTTTGAAGAGGTATTTATGTTCAGGATCTTCTTATCACCCCTGCAAACAAACATGCACTGTGCATGCTCCAAATTATCTTCTATCTTGTATTTCAACTTTCTCCTCATGTCTTGATCTGGAGCTGCATAAAAGTCCTCGAGGCTTACGCTGAATCCTTGTGAAAGTAACCATTCACGCAATACTGCTTGCGAGCAGTCGATATGCTCCACAGCTGCATCTGTATTCTTTTGAGCAATAATGCGCACCAAGCCTTTAGTACTAGCCAACCAATTTGACTTCTCTCCACATGACAAAATTTCACCATCATGAATTCGGGTTGCCCCGTTATTACTCTGAAAGGAGAATCCTTCCGGAATTGCCAGGTCAATGACCTGCTTTCCTGTCCACAATGGTCCTAGCTTTGGCGATTTTACGATTGTGGGAACAGGGAGCTGTTTCTTCGTCCACATTGCTAGCTGATGCATGGAATCCTTGGGCAAAAATAGTGGAGAAGAAGTCACCAGGTACGTGGCCAATACATAATCTTGAGAAAGCCCCAAAATTGTGTTCTCATCTGGAGACGGCAAAATCTGTGCAGGTATAGTCATAAGCTGATGTAGTTCAGCTCTACTCTCCTCGGTCTGAGGAACAAATACATGCAAACAATCTCCGTCAAAATCTGCATGCAGTGGAGCGCAAATCGCAGGATTGATGGTCCATGTGGCTCCAGAGTGAATGTTTGCCTTCAAAGCAAGCAGGGAATGTTTGTGTAATGAAGGAGGCCGGTTAACGAAGACTAAATCTCCATCTTTGAGATGTCTGTGAACGATATCTCCTGTCTGCAGATCAATCTCTGTCTTCCGCGTGACCTCTCGCCTTTCGTCTTTTCTTATAATCCTCACCGCTCCACATGCCATTGATTTACCAAGATCTTGACCAATGTCAATGTACTCTTGTAATCTACTTCGATTGAAATCAGTAACCCTCTCGGAATAAGTTACATGCTTAGCAATATCCATAGGCACTCCAATCTCTTCAACACTCAAGTACGGATCCCCGGTCACAACATTACGTGCCGAAAATCCACTTCTCTTCCCAATCAGATTTTTCTTGAGCCAATCCAAACTCCATCTGGTCGGACGGTGTTGAAGTCTTCCACTTGTATCAACTTTCTTCTTCTCTTTACCCGGAGCAGTCTGGATGGACTCACGTGATGCATGTCAGATGGGCTTTGATGATAGTCAAACAAATGAAGTATCAAAGAAGCTGGATGGTTAAAGCATGGAAAACGATTACCTTTGGAGCACCCTTTTCACGCAGATATTGCTGAAATAAAGCCTGCAAAACACAGCATTCGACGACTGCGGCTTGAAATGACGGTTTTCCAAATCTCGAGGTCTTGATGATATTGATTTTCCTCACAAGTCTTTCGAACGCTTGAGTTGCTCTATCAACCTGCAAGTTCACTCAATTCGATGTACGGTTAGTTAGTAGCAATTCTTTCGGATTGGCAAAGGATTTCGGATTCAACAAAGGTTGAAAAGATATTGCCGATATCTGAAACAAGAGCTGAATAGCAGCCTAAAGAATGTTTACTAGAATCATCCTGAATCTCGGGTCACATTCGCATCTTCTACTGTAGCGTACCCCAATTTTGAAGCCGAGGTTGGTTCCTCCCTTTCCAAACGCATCTTCCTGCAATCGTGTACAGTTGGGTGGTACAGGAAGACACTCAAGAATCATTGCCTCTGGACAAGCAATGTTTGCTTTCATTCCGAGAGCAGTAATGGATTTCTGAGGGATCTTCTTCAGTATATTAAGTGCCTGCACGTACACAGTCAATTAATTTCAGCCATAAAAATGACGGAGGTACCTTAGGTTTTCAGCGACGCGAATCTCATTGAACTTTCTGCAACTTAAATGGACTCCAATATGCAGGCTCCATTTTTTTTTGAAGACCGTGTATATTACAAAAGATTTCAGTGATCAAGTTTACAACTCGAGTTGCTAAGATTACCGAAACAGCAGACAATATTCTTCTCATATACTTTGAAAGCTAGTTGAAAGATAGGCAGATTTGTAGTAGAAAGATTCTAATGCGAGTTCTATGTAGATTTGTAGACAGAAAACACTTGATGAGGCTCATCTTCATCTGAAGAGAATGTGCATACAAGATGATGGGCTACGACAATATTTACTTAGTCAACATGATAACTTTTACGATTTCATATATAGTCACAGTTCCAGCATTTGCACTTATTGCAGGAAGAGAGTAGACTTTGCATGAGTCTCTAAAATCATAGATCGATACAACTTTTCGTACACAAACATACATAAATTGAAGATTTACGAACTTATAATTAATCCCGATAACAGCCTTTGTACTAAGATATGACTTGTGACATAAGATCATGCCACCGATAGATATTTTGCAATCTAATGTCTATTCCCGTGCAATCCATATTGTAGCAGTAAGGTAGCAAGTCTATAATGGTTGAAAGCAATTTCAGCATTACAGTGTTAGCCTGATCTGCCATCGCCAATCCGAGAGTGCGTCACAAGAAATGCTAGAGACGAGGCGCGCCGGCCTCGTCTTGTGCGCTAAGCGCGAAATCGCGTAACAGCATTTGCACGTATTGCAGGAAGAGAGTAGACTCTGCATGAGTCCCTAAAAACATGGGTCGATGACGACTTTTCGTGCAACAAACATATATATATATATATATATATATATATAGAAGAAATGTACATCCAAATCAGTAGAAATCGAAGGAGAGATTACAGTGATAACGAGTTTCAGATAAATATCCTAACATCCAGGCTATAGGTGCTATCTCACTTACTTCAGACGGTAGCAGGTATCTTGAACCCCGCTTTAAAGGTTTCTCAAGCTTTGATGATCCCTCAACAAAGTCCCAATAATCAGCAGCAAGGTTTTCTCTTTCTTTGGGCTTAACACTCATCTTGATGAACTTCACCGAGTTAAAAGGATCCTCGTTGCTTGCTCCTTTCAAGTTTACATGCACATTGATATCTGGCTTTGGATAGCCGAGTCTTCGGGACGATGCCTGTGGAGAACCACCTACGTTTAGGGACTGTCCATGCTGAAATCGACACATGACAACTAGACATGCGAATACGTAGAAAGATCCTCGGCATGAGAAGTTTTACTATCCAAATGGAAGTGACTGAAGTGCTTGACAATGCGAACTAAGTTTTAGCAAGAAATTAAAAGATTAGGATTGATGATAATTTCTAACTTACTGAGCAGTACTTGCATACTTTCGTGGCGAATTTAACACTTTTAGAAGCAGGTTCCACGGTGTCACCAGATAATATTACCCTGCTTTTTTCTGTTTGTCTGGACTCCTGCAACATTTTAGAGATATATAACTCAAACTTAGTCCAGACTTTCCAGTAGCGATTCTTACCTTGATATATCAAATTCTACGTGGTGTCATCACTCTGAGATCTCGGTCGTGAAAACATATCTTGAACTGAAAGGAGGCTTATTTGAGCTCCCATATATGTTCATCAGTGGAGTACGTGTTCGGTCTATAAGTTTCTATATGAATGAAATCACCGAGAAATATTTTTTCTCAACAGAAATGAAAAAAGGTGGTTTACCATAGAAGTCCTGCGTCTTTTATATGCTTTAGAACCACTGCCTTTCGAAGGAACTGCAAATTCTGATTCTGGCGATTTGCAGTTGAGCTCCTCGGTATAGCTCACAGTTTTTCTCTTCCTTAGCATCTTCCTAGAGCTCGTAGGTATCCCAGGAGAGGCGCATTTTGTGACTTGTCCTGTCTTACAGTTTGTCTCCATACCTTGTAACTCTTTCGCCTTGCCACTAAAGTCCTCGTCAGAATCATCTGAAGACAAAACTATCACTTCCTCCGGAGAAATGCATGGTTTAAGACCATCTGGCCAATCGTCGATGTCCTGCAAAAATGTGCAAATCCAATCCCTATATTTATGTAGTGAAGCTTTGAATGAAGTACAAGTATGTATGATAAAGTTGCGGACCGGATTTCTGCTACACACATTAGTCGCTCATACAGTCAATCTAATACAACAAATGCCATTGTTATGTGGCCTAGTAGGCTATTCAATCATCTTGTTCGGAGACCTAAACACGAGAGACTTCAAAGATTTACGATTGATCTCAGGCTGCAAGGAGACATAATTTATAAGTTGTAACTGACAAAGATTCAAGAACCGGCGGATATCAAAACAACAATTCATATTTTAAGCTTTGGAAATTTTTTTAAAATGGCGGTCAAGTACATAATATAATTATTTATGCTTGCATACATGAAAATGACGTTCTTAAATCAATCAGGCTCGGTAATTCTATCTCCATAGTTTTACAATCAGGTCCAAAATCCATTCGGATTATAGGATCTGTGAGGTAACATAAAGAGCAGACGCGAAGACCCTTAGCAATCTGATGCGAGCCAAGTGTTATTGAGTCGTATTGAAAAGGAGAGATCGGATACGAGTTCGTAGCTGTAGTTGGAACAAAATTGTAACATATGGGTTTCAAGGGTCTTTTTTACTCGTCCGCAATCTGCTTCCTGGAATCAATTACCTCGTCAAGAGCCTCCTCAAGCTTTCGTTTGTTTCTGGAGTTGGATTCAGATGACATTCCGATATCAGCATGAACTGGATTGGAAGTATTGCACTCTGTTCCTTTTGGTTCATGTGACTGATAATTGGAGTGTGTTCCTAAGTTGCTCTGGGCCTGGTGATCCGCGCCAGCAAGGAGTGCAAGAGAAGACTCATGATAGCTTGATAACTATACATACGTAAAACGATACTGTTAGATATAACGTAAAACCTTGCAGATATCTAATTTCGAAAATACTCAAATACTCGTTAATAATTACAATAAAAGAAATGGAAAGTATAATTTCAGCAACTGAATGAACAAACCTTTGATTTCTTTCGAAGCTGCCCACAGTTCAGACAGATCCTCCTCAGCAATGTTACAAGAGCCTCCACATAATTTGGATGGAAGATCGGTAGAGACAAGAGAATGTGACCGAAGTGTCCTTCAAAAGTAAAGAGAAACAGTTAACTGAATCCGAGGTGACCATTTTTGTCTAATAATATGTGGTGTTCAAATACAGGCTAATCTGCTCATACAAAGTCAAATCTCCAGGAAAGTCGGACAAGAGTAGCCTACCTTGACACTCATCCACTGTCACACCGTTACAAGTTAGACACTTCCCGCTCGGCGTTGGAAGTCCAAAGTATGCATTCATTGGGTCTTTTGATCTGATGGAACCCTCCCGAGTTACGAGCACTGACATATTGAGCTGCAAACATGGAAGAGATTTAAATGTAGGTGTAATTCGATCTCAAATCAATGCAGACAAGCCTGCTGCAGACAAGTCTGCAGCAGGCTACGAACATTCTTAATGTAGGGGTCAACGAGTGCAAGCAATTAGCACTTACAGTGTTGGCTGTGGTCATCAGTCCGAACTGAATGCCACATATTTTTGCCAACTGAGGCGTCCCTCCCTCTGGCGGTACTTCTGACACTTCCATCTTTGTTGCGAATCCAGCGATCAAATGCCTTCCTGAGTTGGCCGAAAAAAGACTGTAATATTCCCCTTTGGTACGCGATGGGACGCCTAAAGAAGTCGCAGATAGAATGGAATTGAAACCCCAACAAGATTACCCCAAGCAGTCGAAGAGAAGGAAACGCATCCCGAAAATCACGCACTAAAAGAAACTTAAATAACTAGTCTTCAATCACTCATCTCAGATAGATGAACTCTCGTCCCTACGGTAACAACTCGAAACATCTCTAGATTAGATGACAATTAAGGTTCGCTCACCCCTAACTTGTTCCAGTTCTCAGTATTATAGGTTAACAATGTACTGCAATGTAAGAGTACTATTTCACAAGCATTTCTCTGCCTGAATCCGAAGACCACTCATCCCAACTGTCTATCTGCGAGGCAAAGGCGCTCTATCTTGAGAAAATCAAACGAGAACAGCTTTGCTCAGATAATGAAGCACACCGTTATTTACAAGAAACTCTTCATATCCACCAGGTCTGTCATGCCCTTGCGGTGGTACCCACGTCAGACTCTACCATTATTAATGATGATATGGGAGTGACGAACGGGAGAGAAACTCCCTCTGTGAGGAAGAAAAATTACTTTCTGCCATATACGTCAATTATTCCCATAGTGCATCTCGTAGTTGTTCTAGACATACTTCTATAAATGAACTTTACAAATCACATTAGTTGTAAGATTGTTTTACTTGACAAGGTGTTCTCTATTCCTAAATCTGATTTACATGTTGTATTAGTTGCAAAAAGGGTAAAGAAAATAAGAAATCCTGTGATGACCCTGAGAATTTTGCTTTCAAGAATGTTCATTAGAAGAAATTTCTCTATCTCTGTTTGACTTTCATGAGATAAACGTGCAATGAACGGAAGACATGTTGTTTTGCATACGACCTTGTCTAACAACAATTGGAAAAAGAACAAGTCTAAGAGATAATACTTTGTGAACTTAACACTCTTCCAGTTGAAATAAGATGAAGGAAATTGTTAAACTGAGTGACAGAACTATGTAAAAGTAATTGCAAAATGCCATAATTATTATTTCACCTGCTATTAGATACTATCGACATGAGGAACTCATATTAACAACACATTTCGCTCTACCTTATCGAATGGTTCGATCAATTTCGGAAACTCCGGTTTATTCGTGACTTCGGTCATACGAGATGAATTTTATAAAAGAACTGATTTCAGACTTACAATGAACAAGTGCATTTAGAAAATTATACATAATGTGAGAACTTACATACCTTGGCTGACTAGAATGCAGAATCGGTATTGACTAAAGTACACACTCTTCCTTCGTCAAGTGGCTTCGCCTGACATAAGCCTTAAAATGGTTTCATGAAACAGGGCGGAAACTCGTGTTGTGTGTTGGATGGTCGTTTTGCCTCCAGATTATCCATTCACAAAGACACACCAGACTCAGGCGCTCGCATAAAGCCAACCCATCCTTCATGTTCACAGTTGGACTAGAGATTGAAAGCATTGAAAGGAAAACCCTTCCATGTATTTAAACTATATTGCCAGTCACGAGAACTATAAAACGAGAAATGTCCAAGTTAGCTGCAATCATGTCTACGACCCTAGCCATGACTGAAGGTTGACTCAACCTATATGGACTGAACAGTCACCCCAAGTATACATCAGGTGACAAAATCCGCATTTCTCCATGAAGATCTTGTCTTCACGGTGTTGGGTCTTTTCGCGTCAACAACACTTGTGGTTTCAGCCAAAAAGTATCGCAAACTGTAAAGAGATAGCTGTAGTCAGATGTATTTTGTCACGTCTTTTCACATATAGAACAATTTCTGTTCTCTGAAAGCTTTGGCCCTTGATATAAATTTGCGTTGTGTTCCTGGTGGTTTATCGTATCAAGAATAGATTGCATCTCACAACTCTCGCAGCGCGTTCGTAGTGCGTTTGTTGTCTAAAACAATCTCAATGCTCGTTGAAGTGTAGGCATTTGATCTGAACTCGTCCTCATCCAATTGAATATCGTCCCAATCTCATTAGTCGATGACTGTTACCGTCTGGTGCCACTCCCATTGCAGTGTACACCAAACTCTGGGCATTCGGCGCGCTTGCGATATATCGGGTCCGTCAGCAACGACAACCAAACCTGAATTGAATATTGGTCGGTTGAGAGCAACTATCCTACTGAGCCTCCTGTGGGCATCCCTTATTCCTGTTGAGTTTAGACGCAATCCAAATGCACATTTTGTACTGCAGTACTGTACTGTGAAATGAACCACGTTGGACGTTGAATCTCTCATCCATAGTAGAGGACGATCGGAGTCGGGGATTCTTGCCATCATCTGAAGCCCCGTTCCTCCCTAGCAGTGAAGCGTTTTGAAATGATGCCGAGCTGTAAATGTGAGAATTTGGAACGCGTGCAGGTGGTCTTGGTTTGCTTTAAGTTACCATCGACGGGTTGTCAGTGGAGCGACTCAACTGAGGAAAGAAATTGTTGAGAATTGTTGGGAGAGGAAACGTAACGCCAGCTGACTTGTATGGCTAGAGCTGAACTTCAAGTTTATACGTCCAGACTTAAGGTAGACATAAACTTTGCTAAATATGTTTTCTGTTCATAAGTCCAATTCCTATCCCCGAACAAATGAATAGACGATTGAGCTATGTATTCAATCTTTAAATATAAAAGGTTAGACAATTATTCAATTTCTATGGAGGAAGTAAACTCGAACTCTACATTTCTGGTAAAATTCCAAGGCATAGACTAGAAGGAGCAGACCCGGAAAGAAATGCGAACTTGTATAGTCCTAAAAGGAGAAGAACAAATTTGGACATCAATGACATTTCCTTATCTTAAATTTACTTTCTTCCCTCTCTTTCTTATCCATAGCTTTTCCAGAAACATTTGAATAACTGAAATTGAGGAGACTCGTTGACAGAAGACATGCATAACCGCTACGATTTTGTGCTTACCAATATTCGAATTTCATCCCCTTCTATGTTATTTGCGAGAGGAGCAACACAGAACACAATTGTTGTGACATTAGTTTGGGATGACTGCACTGTCCTTTTCATTTTACGAATATATGTGTCAATAAACCTTCCGGGAGGAGTATAATATTCATATTCTTGTCCTATTATCTTGGCCCTGAAAGGCTTGTCTTAATGCCAAAAGCCATATGTATTTAAAAGTGTACTACTTGTGTTTATAAAGCTATTATCACGATTAGTTAGAGAGGAGTGCAACATACAGAACTTTTCTTATCAGAAGGTTTTTGAAGCTCTTTCCCCCGTATACAAAAAGTTAAAGAAACTTTTACCAACTCATCAACATCTTAGAATTACTGTACTAACTACGCTTAAAATCAATGGTGAATCTGTCAAATGATCTCATCATTTGTTTTTAAAATCAGAATTGTTACTTTCAAAATTATTCTATATATACATATATATATGTATCACACTTTGATATAAAAAAGAGATCTGTGTTGAAAATAAAGAAGAACACTCACAACTTATCAGTCAGACACTAACTTAAGTGTGACTAATGAGTGAATAGTAAAATGGTTCAACATATCAGTTTTTTAAGCACCTACACTTATCATCCTATCTGAAAGTCAGTAAAATTTTTTACTTCCAACTTTCCACTTTACCAGATTAAATAGCTGATAAGCACTACACATATATTGTCTTGCATGATAGTACTGTAATGGAAGGTCAACTCCAAGAAGAGTACTAACTTTTCATTCAGTACTCTTCTTGAACATTCAGTACAACATCGACTGCAAAGGAGGTGGGTCAATTTATTCAAGTCTGTACCCAATCGTCGCACTGCAGCAAGGAACATTTGAAAACAAATCAATCCTTGAAAATGAAGGCTACGTATCCAAAAGGCTGTGCACAAGAGATCATGATTCATCAATTCCAATATAATCCTACCAAGTGATTGCATATTAAAAGGATGACCTCTTGTCTCAGTTTAATGTTGTTCCATACTTAAAAATTTTATAATATTCTTTAAGATAGACATGTCGCTACGGGATTATAAGGGAAATAAACGGGAGATATTGGTAGCTACGTTTACTTGATATACATATGTCATTTATATTTTTTATAAAAAATATCAATTTATCATAAAATCTAGGCGCTCACATATTCCAATATTGATCATTTCTTGAACTTATTTTAATATTGCAAAGTTTAAAGAAATATTATAGTTTTCTCATACTTTTACAGATATCTTTAACATCTGATACACTGTTTGGATGTTCTTAATATAATTTTTCTCCTCTGATTTCTTTATCAACAGCTATATACATTTATTTGTTTACAATAAATCAAATCTTATGTATTAAATCAAAAGGGGATATATATTCACTATAGTTACCAAGTTTCTTTCTCTTCTTTGGCTCCCGTTCTACATTACTCTCTTCACATAGTCTCTCTCTCTTTCTCTCACCAAAACGGATTCAGCGTCAGACAGTATGATGAATGAAGGAATTTTCATCTGTCATTAATAACAAATAGAATTCTGTAGGGGGTAGAAAAAAGGAATATTGTCGGTAGTTTGGACAGCATTACTTCCAACTTCAACCACGCAATGGGTTCACTTTGCGGATAACCATAGAAGACCGGGCCCAGAAATTACTTCAAGTAAGTTCAACTCCTTTCTGAAGTATTCCATCTGCCATCCTGCGTTCATAGGAACGGGAACGGATCAAGGGGTTAAGAGGACAAAGAGAAATGTCGTGATATCGTAGTATAAGGAGTGTTTAGCTTCAACCCTGCAGTACAGGGAAAGGGACTGAATTGGAAGCGTGCCATGATGGAGAGAGGTACAGTCCTTGCAAATCTCGAATTTGTGAACCCTGGTGTTCTTATAAACGACCAACTGAGATAATGGACCAGTATCCAGTATCTTGAAGTAATTGAATATTTCATATCTTTCCTTTTGCGAGTTAAATATAATTGTTCCTGTTATTTATCAGTTGATAGCTATCAGTATTTTGATACCTAACTTCAGTAGCAAGTTAAACTTCTCTCTCGAAAATGGTCTGCGTTGATAGGTCTGGGAGCCAATCATACGTTGTTGAAAACGCCGATTTCTTGTTGGTAGTAAGAACTTATCACGCAGCAAAAAGGTTATTCGATTATGTGTACGCGGGACCTGCTCGGGTGATGATTCAAACGCGACGAAGTACGGATTGCCTCGCCCATCACCACGCATGATCTCAAACGTGTCCAGCTCGGTCGAAACTAAAGAAGCCAAGAATCACCCGCGCAGATGACGGTAACACTGACAGAGCTTACGTCAAATGAATGCAATGGTGATTTTCTGGATGCATATGACGCTATATATCGTCCGATGTTAGGACGTTCCAAAAAAATTAACATAATTTGCCCCTCCAGGCTACTCAAAAGACTTTTCTGGCACCGCGGACCAGGCAGTAAGAAGCAATGTGGGTTTACTTTAAAGTGGGAAAGTTCAGTCATCGCAGTGACAATCAGAGCCAACAACCACCATGCTCATGCTGAAGCTTGGTGAACTGCCATATGATCCAAAAAGCCCCTAGAGAAAATAGAAACCACTGTCTGTGTCGAAGTTAGCAGAAATACAATTGTTTTCTCAGTCACAATTATTGATAATTGTCCGTGTATGTATATACATTAATCGTCAATTCTAAAATCTTTCTAAAATATAAATTTGAATGTGTCTTTTTTGTCATCTTATCTCGACCATCAGTTCATCTATTGCTTCTTGCGAACTTGGGAAAAAAGCCGTGTGGAAAGCACGAACGAACTATAATCAACGGCACTACTGTAAATAATAGGCCCTGGACGTCACCATGCCACGGCGTCCGGTGGCTATCGTATATCCAACATAAGTTCTAGAAAACCCACCGTACAAAGTGCGCCTCACTATATTATCCATCGAACTCGTGTAATAGGACTAGTTCTTCCAATAGTCTACTACTTTCATGGACAGATTGTATCATAGCAAAAACAAATTTTATAAATATATATATATAGAAATAAGTTGTTTTATAATAAATATTGTACGTTTTATATAGAATGAGAAAGCGTTCCACGCATGCAGGAGGAGCAGCACTCAATGTATTGATAGCCTTTCTGAACATCTCGATGGCCAAGTGCTAATCGGATGGACCTGTCCGCTTGTTTCTCGAAGCTTGACTTTAGAAAAATAAATTACGGAAGAAATGAACAAATCATTGGGCAGTTACCACTTCTTTGAAACGTTTCTAGAAGTTTAAAGAACCCGAAAAATGAAGCGACAGAAGCTTAGGAAGACGGCTGCGCTCCCGATACGTTCAGACCTCCATGCTGAAATGCTTCCGAGAACAGACAATGTTCTCGATGATAAATGAGGAGAGCGAAGGCGAACGATCGTACAAGCGAAATGGATGTGAAAGTTGACAGCCAAAAGCCCTTGTAGAGAACGGCGTCATAATCATTGTAGCTGTGTGCTGATGACTTAACTTTTCATAGCTTCGGTTGTTGCTGTTTTGATTTAAGATGAACTGTTCAAGAGCTGGAACATTGATGTCATTCTCCATTATTGTAATCAGATTACCTACTCGGAACAAAGAAGGTGTACATTCAAAAGTCTGTAATTTCCCCAGATATATATACCATCATGACCTTCAGACACTTCCACTGATTGAGTCGTCGCATTCATCGCAGTGACCACCTAAGGCAACGACTCCTCGTTAGCAAAGCGCGTATAAGGACCTGGCTGGCCAGCTACCCAGCAACCAGTTGCAATACATTCACGGAGTAAACATAGCTAGGGCATTCTCAGCTCAATACCAGATCGGAAGATTGAATTTTAAGCGATCATGAGAATTTACCGCAAAGGACGTGAATATAGTGTAGTCTAAAAATCTGTATCCTTTAGATATAGACCAAAACTATCAAACTTATAGATACTGTCAACAATGAATAATCTCTCTATATTATATCGTGCTTACTGACGTTGATTTTCTGAAAATCGCAGCCATTACAAAAAGGCGATTTGCAATTTGGCTGAATCATGAACAGAATATCTTCTATTGACGGTGCTAGCTAATTCATTGGCTTTGATGGTCACCCCTGTAAAAATCTTTCTTACTGATAATAAATTTCTGAAAACGGCAGCCATTACAACAAGGCGATGGGAAATTTGACTTGATCACAAACTGGATATCTTCTACCGATGGTGCTAGCTATTTCATTGCCCTCGATGGCTACAGCTGTCCATATCAAGGGCTTCAGGCAGGAAAACTGTCAGGGTGACGAATATATTCATTGTAGAGGTATTGCAGAGTCAACTTGCTGTGTGTTAATAAACTTAAATGCATTGTCTGTCTCTTACGCGAACCTTGATTATATGAAAT